ATTCTCATTATTACTCTGTGATAAGTGTACTATCTCCGCTTTACAGGCAAGGAAACAAGTTCTGAGTACAGTGCTTTGCCCAGTGCCCAGCAGGTAGAGATAAACTTGGACTTCAGGTCTTGGGACACTGTCCTTACTGTCTTCTCTGCATTTTCCAGCTTATCACACAGACCTTTAACCACCACAACCAGCTGGCACAGAAGGCCCGGCGGGAGAAGCGAGCACGGCAGGAGACTGAGCGGCGGGAGAAGGCAGAAAGAGCGGCCAGGTTGGCCAAGGAAGCCAAAGCAGAGACCCCCGGGCCACAGATCAAGGAGCTGACTGACGAGGAGGCAGAGAGGCTGCAGCTGGAGATTGACCAGGTTAGGGTGGGCTTCCCTTTTTATCCCCCCTAGATTTCCACTGGCACTAGAAAGTGGGGACTGTGTTGCCAACTGCTGTACCCTTTGCCACAGAAAAAGGATGCAGAGAATCATGAGGCCCAGCTCAAGAATGGCAGCCTTGGCTCACCAGGGAAGCAGGTGAGATGGATTGTTGACACTTGGGACTAGTTAGGGACTTGAACTAGCCTTTCTCTAGTCCTCTGGAATGCCCTCCTTTACCATCCTCTGACCCCTAGCTTTAGGGATCCTCCCCATATTTCAAGATCTGATTCACAGACATAGAACACATGGATATGGGTTAAAAAACAAAACAGCTCCCACTAGCCTTAGGCCTTATGTAGAAAGCCTAATACCCTGAGAGGGCAGTGCCTATATAGGGCACCATCCAAAGTAGGCTGGGGGGTCTGTGGGTACAGCCATGTCCTTTGTCACATGGGTATAATAGTTTTGAGTTCCTCTTAGAGATCAGAACTAGTTTTACCTCTGGTTCCTGGTGGATTAGGGTATTGGGTCTATCTACCCCTGCATGAAGTGGACAGGGGCCAGGTCTGTTTTGTGGCTATATGCCCTGGGCCAGCCGTGGGCCTGGCCCAGTGGAGTTTGGTCTTTGTCTGAGCACCTCCGATTGTGAGCAGGAAGCGGAGGAGGAGGAGGAGGAAGAGGACGAGAAGGACAAAGGGAAACTGAAGCCCAACCTGGGCAATGGGGCTGACCTGCCCAACTACCGCTGGACCCAGACCCTGTCGGAGCTGGATGTGAGTGACTGGAGCCAGGGGTGGAGGTCAGGGAACCAACCTGGGGTCTTGGTGGCCCCTAGAGACCTCTCCTGACTGTCTGTGTCCATGCAGTTGGCAGTGCCCTTTCGTGTCAATTTCCGGCTGAAGGGGAAGGACGTGGTGGTGGATATCCAGCGGCGGCACCTCAGGGTGGGACTCAAGGGGCAACCAGCAGTCATTGATGGGGAACTCTACAACGAAGTGAAGGTGGAGGAGAGCTCCTGGCTCATTGAGGATGGCAAGGTGGTGACAGTGCATTTGGAGAAGGTGCGTGAGATCTGGTTTTCTAGCATGGGTGCTGACAAGACGGGTAGGGACCTGTTGATCCACTTGGGCCATACTAGGGGACTTTGGAATCAGGAAAGAGCTGTGATTGAGAGTCCAAGTTGAACCCTGTTTGGTGCCAAGTCTCTCTCTGTCTTTCCATCAAGTTTGCACATGCTTTCAGTTCCACACATACTTGAACCTCTACTCTGTGCATGTGCTTGCTGTTCTAAGGATTGGAGAGAGAAGAGTGAGCAAAATGTAGAAAAGTCTACCCTCAGGAAGCCGACCTTCTCTACTTCACTGCCTTTCCAGAGCTGAGACACAGCAGTAAATAAAAGGGGTCTCTATCAAGGGACATAGTTTTTGCAGTACTGGGGATTGAACCCAGGGCTTTGCACATGCCAGACAATTAAGTATCACTAAGCTATACTTCCAGCCCTTTTTAACTTGAGACAGCATTTCACTGAGTTGCCTAGGCTGGCCTTGAAGTGCCATCCTTCTGCCTCAACCTCCCAGTTAGCTGGGATTAAACCCATGTCACCAAGAAGCCCGGTTTCACTCTTTAGCTTCTTTCCCTCCACCATGCATGACTGTCTCCCTCCATACTTTCTTTTATTTTTTGGTCCAGGGAATGAACCCAGGGGTGCTTAACTACTGAGCTACATCCGCAGCCCTTTTTATTTTTAATTTTGAGACAGGAAGTAACTTGTTAAGTAGCTTAGGGCCTCAGAGGCTGGCTTTAAACTTGTGACCCTCCTGCCTCAGCCTCCTGAGCCAATGGGATTACAGGTATTTGCCATAGCATCCAGCTTTTTCTTTCCTTTATGATGCTGTTTGTCACTGTTGGCCTCTGCGTCTGTCTCCCCCAGCTGCTAGGAGAGCAGAGGTCTGGCTTATCTATATTTCTGGTCCCAGCACAGGCTTGTGGGAGTCTCAGGTACAGGATGTGGATGGGAGGAAATTTGGTTCTGAAATGGTTGAAGGGTGATTGCTGGGGCACAGAGTGAAGGTCCCCAGCTTGCTACCACTGGGTGTCCTTTTCTTTACAGATTAATAAGATGGAATGGTGGAGCCGTTTGGTGTCCAGTGATCCTGAGATCAATACCAAGAAGATTAACCCTGAGAACTCCAAGGTGAGCCCTGGCTGGTTGGAAGAGCTTCGGCAAGGAGGTGAGGGACCTTAGTCTTAGACATTGACCTTCACTGTCCTTGCCTGCCTGCAGCTATCAGACCTGGACAGTGAGACACGCAGCATGGTGGAAAAAATGATGTACGACCAGAGGCAGAAGTCCATGGGGCTGCCCACATCGGATGAGCAAAAGAAACAGGAGATTCTAAAGAAGTGAGCAACTCAGATGGGGACTTGGGTAGGGTGGATACCTGAAGCTCAGACCTGGGTGACAGTAGTGAGTGGGGTCACCCAGCAGGACTTAGGAGTTGCCCTGCCCCCTTCCAGCATGAGCCAGCCAAGTTTATGGTTTTATGACCTTGATTTACCTACCCTAATCAGTTGCTGAGGTCACTCTTAGGACAAGGCTGACTCAGGGTAGGAAGCAAGGGGTTACAGGCAGTCATTGCCACCTACAGGAAAAGTGTGTCCAGTGTTGGCAACTGTTTCCAGCCACAGGGCCTCCAGTGGGCCTCAGACACCTGGGACCCCACCCCTTCCAAGCCTGACTCCAGGTTTCCTAGGGTTCTAAAGAGGTTAGACCTGACATCTAAACTGGGAGACCGAACTGGCTTAGGAGGACTGCCTGTTTGACCTTCTTCTTCCACTTCTCCAGGTTCATGGATCAGCATCCAGAGATGGATTTCTCCAAGGCCAAATTCAACTAGCTCCTGTGTTTGCCTCCCTGAACTCTTGGGGTTGAGCCCCCAGCCATCCAGCTTCTTTCCCATCCTTCCCTGGGACCAGGGAGCCTCAGGGCTGGGGCAGGCATAGGACTGGCCCAGGCACACAGGTCCTGGGGCGTCATGGGAGAAGGTCTGGGGCCTGCCTTGGGGGTCTTGCCCTCCCCAGTTGGCCTACTGTTACACATTAAACGTCTTCACCCAGCTCCACCTGTGTCCTTTCCTCCTTCTGGCCTTTCCCTGGAGCAGGCCTCTTGGCTGCTGCTGGGAGATAGGGTTTTGGCTTTTAGCCCAGATTCTGCCATGTGACCTAGGGCAAGTCCTTGCCCTTCATGGGGCCTCAATTTCTCCTCCTTTCTTGGAGGATTAGGACAAGGTTTTTAGTCTGTATGGCTCCAAGCAAAGGAGAGTTTTTCTGGCTACAGAGCAGGACGTATGTCAGATTCTCAAAGGAGCCCATGAACCAGCAAAGATTAAGGCTAGCTGGACTTAATTGATTTTATTTTCATCTCTGAGAGTCCCTCCACCACCCCCAGCCCTGAATCAAGTATTTTTCCAATTCTGAACTGTTTCCCAGGGCAAAAGAGCAACAAGGCCTTGGTGACACTGCCTAGCTCAGGTGAGGGAGATGGGATCACCCATGCCTTAGATTTGTTCTGTGTAGTACAGGGACCTGCCCTAAAGTACAGGGTAAAGTCTGGTAAGGCCCCACTGTTTTTGTCTCTCATCTGGACATGTGCAATTTTTAAGGCCTCAGAGCCAGCCCCCAGGCAGTAACAGAGCTGAGGACATGTTACCTCTGTCCAGCCCCAGGACCTTTAGCTGGCCCTGCCCTGCTTCTGCCAGAGGGTAGAGGTCATTGCAGGCACCATAGAGGTTACTGCAGCACTTACCTTTGTCTCTTTTCCCAAATTTGATAAATCCTGTTTTAGGGGAATGCAGATGATAGTTCACAAGGCTGTTTACCAGAAAAAGGTGCTTTAAGGCTGAGGCTGGAGTGGAGGGACTGGTGTTACTCTCCTACTGTGGTGCTCTGTAGTTGGTTGGATGGAAATCAAACCCAGGGAGGACCTGACTACTAGACAAATGCTGCCACTGAGCTACACACACCCCAGCCTGGTTTTATTCTCAGGCCTTGACCTAGATGGGACAACAGAGCCTAAGGAAAGGGCCCAGTTAGATTGCAGTAGCTACAACTGGGCCCCATGGTCATAGCCCTAGGGGAGTATCCTGTGTATCTAATAGAAAACTGGACAAACAAGTAGTTTGTCTAGTCACTTTCCAAAGGGTGCCCATGGGGACATAAAAAGGGCTGCAGATAAAGGGGTAGGAATGGAAGACCATGAACATCTTCCAGCTTGTTTATTAGTTGAAGATGGGTTGGTGGACCTGCCCCAGTCTCTGCTGAAAGGGTCCTATTAGACAAGCCTGTTTGAGGAGCAGTGAAGGATAGGCTGGATGCTGGTGCCCAAGCAAGGGGAACCTCCTGCTGTCCCAAGGTTAGCTTCCAGGTCCAGAGCCGCAGTTACCACCTCTGTGACCCACTAATTCCTTGACTTTTCAACCCCAGGTTCCCTTATACTCTAGGGTTGCTAGAAAGGCCAAGGTAACTGAAAACCACTGTGCTGTTAGCACAGGGAAGAGGTGGAGAGGACCAGCAGGGTTAAGCTGGGTGGGGGCTGCTGACAAATGATCAGGGATTTGGGGGGGGGGGGGGGACTGGGATGGCTGACAGGCCAGCCTGCAGGCAGTGGACAGGGGGAGCAGCGATGGTGTCAACAACCATCCCTAGAACTGAGAAGTCCAAAAGCTATTCAGGTACCACACTGTTCTTGGAACACAGGCAGTATTGCTCCACATCATGACCTCAACTCTGCCACACAGCCCAGCCTCATACCCATGTCCTGTCTCCTGGGCAGCCATTAGGCAAGGCAAAGCAGGCAGAAAGGACTATGTTGTAGCCCAGATTATAAGATAGGAGTCCATTACCTTTGTACTTTCAACTGTGGTTGTTAGCTAGAACAAACTGCTCAACAGCATAAAGTGAAGTGGGCACTGCCCACCCACAACTCAGTCTACTTAAGCTTCAAGTTTGCAATGATGACTACTTGGGGTGACATTACAAGGACAGAGTTGGGATTCAGTCCTGGAAGATAACTTTAAGTCTTTGTTTTCCATGATCGATCCACAGAAAGGAATAGGTCCAGGCAGGGGTCAGGCCAGCTGGGGATGTGGGCACTTTGGCCCTGTGAAATGCACATGGTCCAGGAAGCAGTCAGTGAAGGCAGGAAGAGCTAGAGTGGGCACTGCTTCTGGCCTCACAGTCCAGCCTCCCTCAAAGAAGGTCCTGATGCCTCTTTATTTTGTAGGCTACGTTGCTCCCAAGAAGGGTTGTGCCTGCTGTACCCAGCAGGGATTAGCAGTACACCTGGAGCAGGGGTGCCCCTGAGGAGTCTGTGTCAGTGCCCTGGAAGGCCGAGTCATGGCTGGCTGGGTACCCTGGTGGGAGGAGGAAACAGGCTGAGAGAGGGGAAAGAGTTCATCCAGGGCCCACTGCCAGGGAGAAGCCTGATGAGAGGGAACAGAGCAGGGCTTGAGCCTGGTCAAGTCACTCAGCTTGAGTGACTTTTTTTTTTTTTTTAATTTTAAACATCTGAATCCTAGCCTCCTTCTCCCAGGGGGTTGTTGTGAAGGCCCAGAAGACAGTAGAACCACACAGGGTGCCTTTGTAACAGAAGGCTGAAGACTGGAATTGGGATTGGGTCCCTTCTAGCCCATCTTTTCTGAGCACCTCTTATTTGAAGCCAGTTTATAAGACTGGGATGAGTTTATGGCTGCTCAGCCCCCTTGTCCCTTTCTGACCTTATCCGCCCCATCCCAAAAAGTAGCTGGGAAAGGGGCATGTGAGGGGCCCCTAGGATAGTTCCCCCACCCTCTGCATTCCTTGTGGGATCAGGACCACACCTGGGGTTCCATATGGCCTCAGCTTCCGGGCGATGGCATCTGCTGTTGTCTCCTGGGAGATCTGCACTGTCAGTTCTAGGAAGGGAATATAAGGGAGCAGTGATCATTTCACATTCTTTTATCCCCACCCCCTAATTCAGTTTGCTGCCTAATGAGGGGTCACTCATCCCTGGGTAGGGCTAGAGGAATAATGCTTAAAAACAAGGACACAGATAAACTGCATGTGTGCCTGTCAGTTGCTGTGGTAGATGGGCAGGTGGGTCTTTTGGTTAGGCCAGGCTATGTTAGAGGTTCAAGTTCATATGGGCCCCAGGCTAGGTCTGGAAGCTACTTGGGCAAGTAGTAGTGGAGGAGCCTATTAGGTCAAATTGTTGTCTGGGTGGGTCATTGCACTTCTGGGACAGAGCAATGACCCAAGAGCATGCTCCTCTCAGCCTTTCTCAGATCTCACTGGGAAGGGCCAGAGTGGGAGCTGGGGAATGGAATGCACGGGAGAAAGGAGGACCCACAATAGCCCAAGACCCCAGTCCAGCCCCTCCTTTGGCCAGAGCCTTCCCTACTCTGACTCTCTGGTCCCACCTACCATCCTGGCTGAGACCTGAGCCCACCATAGTCTCATGGCCACTGTCAGGGGCAGCAGCTGGGGCTGCAGCCCGGGTGGAGCGCCCCTCTGAGGTCTGTGGGCGGGCGCGGCTCTTTCGGGTACTAATGCGAATAATGCCGCGCACCAGGCGGCCCTCGGCGTCCTGCTCGTCCAGATGGTAGTCCTGCGTGATGCTGCTGATCAGGTCCGAGATCTTACTGGTCTTCTCCAGGAACACCGTGTCCGACGTGCATTTGGCCAGCTCGTCGATCTGGTGTACGCTGAACAGCTCGGTCAACTTCTTGAATATGAGCACGTCGATTTCCCGGCTCGACATGGAGCCACTGCCCATCTCCGGCAGGTCCAGGTCCGACTCGTGGAAAGAGTAGTACTCCTCTGAGCCTCGGGGACTGTTGGCAAGGGTGCTCGGCAGGCTGTGCCGCGTGGGAGGGGGCTGGGCCAGTGGCTCCTTGCAGCAGGAGTCCGAGTCCGGAGCTGGGGAGGTGGTGCTGCGGTAGGGGTACACAGGGACGCCTTTGAGCTTGACATCAGGGTAGCTGAAGCTGCTGCCCACGGCAGACTTGAGCCGCTGGCCATCCCGGCGGCTAGGGGGTGGGCGGTCGGGGCTGGGGGGTACTCCATTGTGCTCCTTGGCCCAGCTGGCTTCAGCAGCCTCCTCAGTGGAGTCCCCAGCAGACAAGCAGGGGCTACAGCCCCGCACACAGGCCCCGCAGCGCTGGAGGCAATCCCGGCAGCGGCGGAAGCAGAAAGCAGCCCGACACCAGTCCCACCCCCAGGGGCGCCAGAGCAGGCAGCAGGCTGGGGGCTCGGTGGCCGGCTCTGCAGAGCTGGAGATGAAGGTAATGCTCTCTGGCCCATGGTGGCCAGGGTCCTTGGGGTCTGGCCTCCGGGTGCGGCGGCCTGGTGGGTGCTGGGGTGTTTCATTATACGCCTCCAAGCATAGCTCTGTTGGCTGTTCCCAGGGTCCCAAGCGAGGTGGCCCAGATGATGGGCGGGGCTGTCCTGGCCGGGGCATGGCTCACTGCATGGTCTCCTGCAGCCAGGTACCTGCCGGGAGAAGCCAGGAAGAAGTCAGGACGGGAGGTCAGGGACAAGCTCCGGCCGTCCTAAAGAGAATAGACTTCTGACTTCTGAGAGGCCAAGTGTGCCCATTAACCATCTGTTTGTGCTCTTCTCTCCCCAAAGAGAAACTTTTTTGGTCTGACCCAAATTTCAAAAATCTCCTGGGACTTCACACCCACCGAATGACTACTTAAACTAAACAAACAACAAAAACCCAGAAAACAAGTGTTAGCAGGATGTAGAGCAGAGTCCTGTGTGTTGCTGGTGACAGCAAAAATGGCCAAGTACTGTAGGAAACAGTATGGAGTTCCTTAAAAAATTAAACATAAGTGCTAAGGACATAGGTCAGTGATAGAGCATTCAATCCAGCATTCATGGGTTCCATCCCTGGCACTGAAAAAAATATTATTTTATAAAACACAATTACCATATATACCAGCAATTCCAGTTTTGGGCATACTCACAAAACTTGAAAATGGTCTTGAATATCTATTTGTATATAATGCTCCCAACAGCATTATTCACAGTAGCCATGAAGTGAAAACAATCCAAAATGTTCCATCAATGAATGAATGGCTAAAGAAAATGTGGTCTATGCAGACAATGGAATATTATATGGCTTTAAAAGGAATGAAATTTGGGCTGGGATTGTGGTAGAGAACTTGCCTAACATATGTGAGGCACAGGGTTTGATCCTCAACACCACATAAAATAAATAAATAAAATAAAGATATTGTGTCTATCTACAGCTAAAATTTTTTTTAAAAGGAATGAAATTCTGATAATACTATAAAATGCTTAACCCTTGTAGACATTATACTAAGTGATATAAGCCAGAAAGCAAAGAATAAATATTGTATTGCACTACTTAAATATATCAAATAGTTGGGGACAGTGGTGCATACCTATATCCCAGCTACTCAAGAGGCTGAGGCAAGAGGATCACAAACTCCATGCCAGCCTCAGTAACTTAGCAAGACCCTGTCTCACAATAAAGAATAAAAATGGTTGGAATTACAGTTTGGTGGTAGAGCATCCCTAAATTAAATTCCTAGTGCTGCAAAAATAAATAAATTAATTAATATCCAGAACAACTAAATTCATAGAGACAGAAAGTATAATGGTGGTTGCTAGGAGCTGGGGCAGAGGGAATGGGGAATTAGGGTTGAATAGGTAGACTTTCATCCAGGGACGATGAAATTTTGGAGATGGATGGTGGTGATAGTTGTGTAAGAATGTGATTGTACTTAATATCATAGAACTGTAAGCTTAAAAGTATTTTAAAAAGCTGGGCACAATGGCACACACCTGTAATCCCAGTGACTCAAGAGGCTGAGGCAGAAAGATCGTGAGTTCAAAGCCAGCTCAGCAACGTAGTGAGGTGCTAGGTAACTCAGTGAGACTCTGTCTCTATAAATAAAATATAAAAAGGGCTGGGGATGTGGCTCAGGGGTTAAGTGTCCCCGGGTTCAATCCCTGGTACAAAAAAAAAAGTGGTTAAAAAATATTAAAATGATAATTTTAATGTACATTTTACCACAAAACAGAAAGATTTCTCAGGCTCTCACTTTATGAGAAATGGACTCCTTAGTTCCTTCCTACTGTTGGGAAGCGTGGCACAGAGCTGCTGAAGGACTCAAGAAATGCCTTTCTATCCACTTGCTATGAAACCTGATCACTAGCACTTTCCCTTCCTTCTTTTTGTCCTTCATATCAGACATGGGAATGTAATAGGTCCCCTGTCTGACTCAGCTGCTCTCCTAAACAATATTTAACACCAAGAAGTTTTGCTTCCTCTGATTAGAAAAAACTGAGACACAAAATACATCTTCATTCTCTTTCTGACTTGGTTGCTAGGAGGCTCAGAGCTAAGACTTTATTCACTTATAAATACTGAGCCTGGCTCTGTCAGGCACTGTAGAAGATTAATGAACTATAGACCCTGTACTTGGTGATTCACACATGCTTTTGTAGAAAAACAGATTCTTAAAAGCCTGTAAGGTAGAAGATATAAGATATAATGAGGCATTATGGGAATAAATAGCTGCCTGAGGAAGAATAGACAGTGGTGTATTTGGGAAGTCTTTTTTTGTAGGGGCTGGGGATCAAATCTAGGGACTCTCTATCACTGAGCTATATGCCCAGCCTTTTCATTTTTTTTTTTTTAGAGAGAGAGAGAGAGAGAGAGAATGAGAGAATTTTTTTAATATTTATTTTTTAGTTTTCAGCGGACACAACATCTTTGTTTGTATGTGGTGCTGAGGATCGAACCCGGGCCGCATGCATGCCAGGCGAGTGCACTACCACTTGAGCCACATCCCCAGCCCTCATTTTTTATTTTGGGACAAGGTCTCACTAAGTTGCTGAGGATGGCCTTGAACTTGTGATCCTTCTGCTTTGGCCTCATGAGCCTCTGGGATTACAGGCTTATGCCTCTGTGCCTGGCTTTTGGAGGGTTTTTGATCACATATAAGGATTTGCTGGGCACTAACTGTCCTTAGCCTATATTTTCTGAGATACCATTCTTTATCTTTTTGTCCCTGATTTAATGACACTGGGGTCCTAAAACCTGGTAAAGTGTGAGGAAGAAAGGACTGAGCACCAAGATATCTTTTTTCTAGTTCCATTCTGGCCCTTATACGTTGTGTGCCATCAGCAAAACAATGCCATCTCCCTGAACAGGCCCACCATTTTCTCTAACCATTAAGGACCTTTAAGGCTACCTCCTTCCCTACTACTTGCAGCCAATGAAAACTTTGGAAAAAAAAAAAAACACCACAAATTAGAGAAATCTGGCAGACACCACTTTAATCAAATGATCAAAGTTAATATAACTAATAATGTGATGAAATGACATCAAGTGCCTCCTGATCCTATGCACTAAGAAGGACCCACCACTACAAAGCACACCTGACGAAATGATTATCCTGAATGTGATCATGAGGACACGTAAGACAAGCCCAGTTTGAGAGACATGATAACACATGCTGTGTGATCCTGGATAGAACTGGGGAAAAGGAGGAAAATTTGGAAAACTAGCTAATGTGGATAATTATTGACATTAGAAAACAGACTAGCTAATGTGGATAATTATTTAATAGTAATATGCCAATATTAAATTTTCTGAATTTGATTGCTATAATTATTTAAGATACTGTTTTTATTCTTAGGCAATATATACTAAAGCGCTTAGGGGTTTAGATGCACCTCTGCAACCTAATCTCAAATGGTTCAAACCAACCAACAAAAACTTAGAGCTGGAGGGAGGAATGTTGGACTGTGGAGGGGTGAGGAGGATACAGGAGTTTTTTTTTATTCCTGCAACTCTTCCACTCCACAGGTCACACAGCACTCCTCCTGCATGGACCTGGAGAACCCCTAGTCAGATGGAAACCCCTCCCCACAGCCTTCACCTGGGCTCTGTGGGCTGGGTCAGCCTTGTGCCATCTGTTTTAAGATGAGCCTCTCTCCCCAAGAACCAGGACCCAGAAGGGCAAGAACTGTGTTGGCTCCCTTTCTGTTTCAGCGTGTGGAGCAAGGTCAGGTTCAGAAGGTATTTCAGGGAACAGACACATTTTATGTGACATCAGGGTAGAATTAGGACCACTGGGTAGAAGAAAAAGGCCATAGGCTGACCAGAGTGGGCACCAACAATCCAGAGGAGAGGGTATGTGAAATCTCATCTCTGAAATTGTAATAAGTGACTTTAAATTCAGGGGCACCTGATTAAAAATCTTTGCCATGGTTTGAGCAATGTAGGGTTGGGCACAGACTTATTTATTCTCCTTCTCTCTCTCTCTCTCTCTCTCTCTCTCTCTCTCTCTCTCTCTCTCTCAACCAGGGATTGACCCCAGGTGCTTAACCACTGAGCAACATCCCCAGCCCTATTTTGTATTTTATTTAGAGACAGGGTCTCACTGAGTTGCTCAGTGCCTCGCCATTGCCAAGGTTGGGTTTGACCTCACAATCCACCTGCCTCAGCTTCCAGAGCTGCTGGGATTACAGGCGTGCAACACCATGCTTAACCCATTCACCGAATTTACAAATATTTACTGAAGGCCTACTACATGCCAGACATCGTTCTAAATTCTGTGATGAAACAGACAAAACTCCCTGCCTTGAGAGTTTAGAGAAAGTGATTATTGATGGCTTACATTGTTCTAACTGCTTTGTCTGTAATAAACCAATTAATTCTGACCACTCTCTTTATGGTATTATATACAGAAGCACAGAAAGGTTAAATAAGTTGTCCATAGCCACACTTTTATTTGTACCCAATTGGCCTGGCCCCAGACTCTCATCCACTTCCATCCCAGTTCTCAAAAGAGGGCTCTTGACAACCATCCCAGCCCATTTGTTACTTGTAAGGAAAGAGGCACTCAAAGCTACCAGCTCTGTGGACAGCCTGTGTCCCAGGAGGCCCACATGGGGATCCCTGAGTATTCTAGGCTCAGGCCTTCATCTGGAGTGTGGGATGATCTACACTGTTCAACCATACTGAGCTCTGAATGTCTGGATTTGTAAGAGCATCAGGAGTTACTGGTGATGGGCTGGATCACTGTCTCCTTCCCCACCTCCAATCCTTTAGGACTTGCTACTGTTGATTAAATTAATCCAACATATTTATTGTTGGGCCCAGCACTATATTAAATGCTGAGGATATAGCAGTGAATGTTCAGGAACAGGCTCTAGCCCAAGAGGATTTTCACAATTGCCCTGTACTATACCTCCACTTTACAGATCCGAAACCTGAAGCTGAGAGAGGTGAAGTGCCTTGTCACAAGACACCAAGCTGGAAAGGGATGAAGCAGGATTTATGCTATGTTCTGCCAGGCTCTGGAACCCATGCATTTTGCTCTGTGCCATGCACCTCCAGTGGGGTGGGATGATGTGGGGACCAAGACCTGGGGTCAGTGCCTGGCTTCTGTTTCTCCTCCTGAAGTCAGTCTATTTATTGCAGGGTATATCTTCCTCTCCTTGCTGCTACCCCCCCACACACCCCCGTCCCAATCTTAGGAACACTCTCTTGGTTTAGTGAGGGAGGCCTCTATTTTGGTTGGGGGCAAGACTCTTTGGCCTCAGGTTCCTCATCTTTTAAATAAGGAGAGAGAGTACTTTCGTGGTCTTCCTATGAAGAGTCAATGAAACACAGTGTACAGGGGTTTAGCAGAGTGCCTGGCATCTGAGAGGAGCTCAGACACTGAGCATTCCAAGGTACCACAGAGATGATCCCGAGCTCAGCCCACTTCCCACGAATGCTTCGCCTTTCAGCCATCGTCCCCACGAACGGATGCACTTCAGTCCTGGACCCTCCTCCCAGGGACCCCGGGGCAGTCCAGCCGCAGCAACATCTGTCCCACCCCCCGACGGGAGGAGCAGCCCCGCTCACCAAACAGCCGTCGGCTCGGGCGGGGGGGGGCGGGGGGGCGTCCATGCACCTTCAGTGTCCCGCTGCAAAGGAGCAGCCCAAGACTCCCTGTCCGTGGGCACCTGGTCCTGGGTCAAGGGGAGCCAGACCCTGCGCTGCCCGGGACAGGCGCAGCCTCTTGCCAGCACTGCCCTCGGGGCGAGCGCCATCCCTGCAGCTGCACGGCCTCCGCCCGCGGGCAGACGCAGCCGCTCCCGGGTCCTGACACCGGTCCTCGGAGTGAGCTCGGTCCTCGCCCCGACGCCGTTCCCACCCTCGGGCGAGCGCGGCTCCCGCACCCAGTCCCCAGCCCTCGGGCGCGCACGGCCCCCTCGCCCCACTCTGCCTGCCCAGCCCCAACGCCCGCTCAGGCCGCTCCCGGGCCCGGCCCGCGCACCCCGGAAGTGGGAGGGCAGCCCCCGGGGGACCGAACCTGGGACCCTCCCCCGTTCTGGCGCAGCCTCGAGGGGCTTCCCCCCTGGCGCCGCCCCAGTTCGCGCCCCCTCGGGCCCGCGCGGGGCTTACCTGTCCCGCCAGGTGAGCGGCCTCCGGCTCAGCGCTTCCCCCGCCCCCTTCGCCGCTCACCTGGGGCGCAGGTGAGCGTCTCGCGGGAGCGCTCCACGGGCCGCCGCTGGGGACACACTTCCTGCCTCCGCGAAGTGCTGCCGCCGTGCACCTGGGCTGAAGCCCCGCCCCGGGGTTCTGGGCGGGCACCTGGGCTGGGCCCCGACGCTCAGCCGGACGGCCTAGCCCGGAGAGTGAGGCCCCGCGGGGGCGGCGGGCGAGTGCTGGGCTCGGGCTCTCCTCCTGTCAATGGGCGGGCGTCCCTGCAGCCTCCCAGCGCCCTTAAGGCTCCAGCTCTAAGGGCATGTCTGGGGAGCCTTCCCGGACTCCTGAGCCTGCCTGTTTTCTGTAATGTGGAACAATTCTCTGAACTTCCCTGCACGGTACTCATCAGGTTGTTTTCTTGTCTTCTTTTTCCGCTTTTTAGCCTCTGACCTTGAGGACCGGTCTGGTCTTCTATATTCCTGATGTCCCTCACAGGACCTGGCACATTCTATGTTTTCAGCAAATACTCTCCACTGAACAAATGGCTTGACGCCGATTTCCTTAGGCAGAACTAGGGACCTGAGTTTTTTGCCCAGTAGTCAGTTCACCCTCTCATCTGTTCCGGGAAATCTACAGGTGAAGCTCTGCTCCAGAGCTGCCCAAGTAGGATGGAGAGAGCCTCAGGCTATGCAGCTCTGAGAGGTACCTCCTGGATCAACAGAGGAAGCCAAAACGGGTTATAATCACTGCCTTCCAAGAGTAGTAAGGGGGTCCCTGAAAGAGGCAAACATCATTGGGTGGCAAGAAGTCAGAATTCACCCTACCCTGGTTTCCTGCTACCCTTAATAACAATAGTGCCAATAAACAAATGACTTAGGGAGCTTTTCCAGGATCTAAGCTAAACTCCCAGCTTGCATAGTATTAATCCTTCCACTAATCTGTGGAATCAGATATTATCAGTCTCATTTTACTGATGTGGAAACTGAGGCTTAGAGAGGGGAAATTATTTGCTCAGGCAGTTGGCACAAACTATTTGACTTTTGAACAAGGCACTTTCCTTCTCTTGTCGAAAAGGGGAAAGAATGGTACCTCTCCCTCCTGGGAGGAATAAAAAACGGATGAACAGTGAGATAAAAGATATGAAAAAGTTCATTGGCTAAGTTAGACATAGGCGTGCAGTTTCCACCAAAGCCTTAACGGCAACCCTTCCAACACATCTCACACACGTTCCCTCCTTGGGCAAGAGGCACATTGTATTCTCATTTGGAGCTGAGAAAATGGGTCTAATCAACTCACAGTGCACATCTGTGTACTCTAAGACCCAGCAAGTGTATTTCTAAGGCACAGCCACAAAAATCTCTTGCAATCAGACACTAGGAGGAAATATGGAAAAGAATGTTAATAAAAACATTGTTCATAGATGGGAGCAGTGTGCAGGTCTGTAATCCCAGTGGCTTGGGAGGCAGAGACAGGAGATTCAGCAGTTCAAAGTCAGCCTCAGCAACTGGGAGGCATTAAGCAACTCAAGTGAGACCCTGTCTCTAAATAAAATACAAAATAGGCTGAAGATGTGGCTCAGTGGCTGAGTACCCCTGAGTTGAATCCCCTGTACCCGCCCCCCAAAAAAGAAAAGAAACATTGTCCATGGTAGTCCCACATGGAAAACACACAATACTGCTAATGGGAGATAAATGTGGAAAATCAAGCAAAGAAATAATTATACAGCAGTAGAAAATGAATGAAAAATAGCAATTTGGATGGATTGGTTAATATAATACGGAGTGGAAAAAGGATAGTCCCAGGAGATTGCATACAGAATGGGATTGTTTTCATGCAGTTCAAAAATACCTAGAACTGCTGTGTGTAGGCATTATTAGGTTGAATCATGAAATTGCTGTTATTTGACATAAAAAAGTGACATTCATATAGTTCAGTCTAATTTATATGTTAAAAAAAAACTATTAAAACAAGAGCCAGGGTGGGCTGGGCTTGTGGCTTAGCTGTAGAACACTCGCCTAGCACGTGCCAGGCCCTGGGTTCGATCTTCAGCACCACATAAAAATAAATAAATAAAATAAAGACATTATGTCCAACTACAACTAAAAAGTAAATATTAAAAAAAAAAGCGAGGGGATGAGGAACCGAAGATTGAGAATAATTATTACTTAGGAGTAGAGAGGGATAGAGGCGAAGGACAGGAATCCTATAGGCAGACTTCATTGTTAGTAATGGTCTGGGTCTTAATAGGGTGGTAGATTAAGGGCTTTTGTTTTATAATGAAAGAAAACAGAAATTTGTGCTCTAGTGCTAAATAATTAAGGGTGCTGTTGCTTGCAAAGTTCTTAAGGTATGCAAACTTGTAAGAATCTCATTTAGGTTTTTTTTCCCTATTCATTTATTTATTCATTTTTTTTCTTTTTCTTTAAAAATCAAGGTATTGGCCAGGGGGTATAGCTGGGTGGTACAGCATCTGTCAAATGAGCACCATGCCAAAAAAAAAAAAAATTAAGTCATAATTTGCACAGCAGAATTCACCCTTTTTAGTGTATAGTTCTATGAGTTTTGAAAATTGCATACAATTGCATGACCACAATCAAGATATATTAAGACAAGTGTGGTGGCGCACGCCTGTGATCCCAGCAGCTCAGGAGGCTGAGGCAGGAGGATTGCCAGTTCAAAGCCATCCTCAGCAACTTAGTGAGGCCCTAAGCAAGACCCTGTCTCTAAATAAAATGTAAAAATCTGTGGCTCAGTGGCTAAGTGCCCCTGGGTTCAATCCCCAGTATCCCCCCCAAAAAATATAAATCAGTTCCATCTCCCCCCAAAATTTCCTCATACCCCTTTAGAATCAGTCCCTCCTCTCAAACCCAGTCCTTGGTAACCACTGATCTTTTCTTCTGTATCCATAGTTTGTTTTTCTAGAACTTATAAAAATGCACAGTTGTACTACAAAATTCCAATTCAGTGGTCCTTAAAATGCTGTAGATTAGGATTATGACTGAAAAAAAAATATTATGACTGAAGCAGCTCAGATCTACTTTATTTACCTAGAAAGAAAAATCAGGACGGAAGAAAGGAAGGGAGGGAAGGTGGAAAAGGTAAGGGAAGGGGAGAATTTTGTCTCTGAACCACTGGCTACCCCTGTGGCATGTAAGGGAACCTTGCTTTTGGGCTCCAGCCCTGCCTCATACCAGTTATGTGGCCTTGGGCAAGCCATTCCCTTCTCTTCATAAAAATAGGGATAATATTTCCCCTATGGGTTATGTGGAGTATTATGCAATAGGCAAATAGCTTTTTTTTTTTGGTACTGGGGAATTGACCCCAGAGTACTTTACCACTGAATTACATCCCCAATCCTTTTCGAGACAGAGTCTTGCTAAGCTTCTTAGTGCCTCACAAAGTTGCCCAGGCTGGCCTTGAATTTGCCATCCTTCTGTCTCAGCTCCACAGTCTCTGGGATTACAGGCATGAGCCACTGCACCCAGCTTGGTTAGCTGTTATTCCTGATCACGGTCACACTGAAACTACCTCCCTTCTTTTTCCCTATCCCTTTTGAGTGTGGGACACTCAAAAACATTGGGCCCTGTTCCAAGGGCCCTTCCCCCTGTCAAAATACATGTTAAAAAATGTATATTCTAGACACACATCCAAAAGAACTAAAAGCAGGGACCCAAAGGATGTATGTCAGTACTGCAGCATTATTCATAATAGCCAAAAGGTGGAAAAGCCCAAGTGTCCATTAATAGGTGGATGGATTAAAGAAATATGGCCTATACATGCAGTGGAATATTATTCAGCCATAAAAAGGAATAAAGGTCTGATGTATGCTATTCTATGAATGAACCTTGAAGACATTATGCTTAGTGAAATAAGCCAGACACAAAGCCAAATGTTGTATGATTTCACTGATCTGAAATATTGTGAATAGTTGATTCACAGATGCAGAAAGATTAGAGGTTATCAGAGGCTGGAGCAAGGGGGGAATGGGAAGTTATTGCCTAATGGGTTCAGAGTTCTGTTTGGGGTGATGAAAAGGTTTTTGAAATAGAGGTGGTGATTGCACAACATTTTGAGTATAATTCACGCTGCTGAATTTATACTTAAAAATGGCTTAAATGGCAAACTTTGTTTTATATAAATACCATAATTTTAGAAACCAAGGCTGGCATGGTGATCAGTCCCTCCTCTCAACCCCAGTCCTCAGTGACCCATGCCAGATCCTGGCTACTCAGGAGGCTGAAACTGGGGGGTCACAAGTTCAAGGCCAGCCTGGGCAACTTAGCAAAACCTTGTCTAAAAGCAAAAAAGAAAAATGTTGGGGGCGTTTCTCACAGGCAGAGTACTTGTCTGGCGTGCACAAGGCCCTGAATTTGATCCCCAGTGCCCACACAGATAAAAACTCATATATACAATTTTTACTTGTCAATTAAAACAAACAAACAAACAAACAACAACAAAACACCACACTCTTTGAAACTACAACTGGGTGTCTCATTGATCCAGCATTCGGCATGACAAAGGAAAGAGAGGTCTCCTAGGATGGATGAATTTTCCAGATTAATAATCCACCTTTTATTTGATCCTTACAACAATGAGGAGGGCTATCACTTTTACAGGCGGGGAAACTGCAGCCCTTCAAGGTCACGCTGTTTACCCAAGGCTGTGCTCTGGGTGGGTCATGGAGCTGGATGGGAACCCTGTCTCTATCCAGTGCTCCTTACTCCAAGCCACTCAAGCTGTGCTTGGACCTCTTTCTAAACAGATGAGAAGGTTGCCTTTTTTTTACCCCCCTCTGTGATGCTGTAGGTGAACCCAAGGCCCCTGCATGCTACACCCTCTGGGCCACTGAACCACTCCCAACCCAGAGGCCTCCCTTTGTAACCAGAGCTGCCTTGTTGGCCTTGACCTGGGGCCATTGTCCTGACCCTCTGCTTTCACTATTGATGGGACTGCTCCCATTTGATTTTTACTTTTCTGGTCACCTTCCTCTGCCACCATTCAGGCTTTTGGGCTGGTGACAGACTGGGGGTAAGAGGGAGGTATCAAGAATGATTCTGGATTTCTGCCTTGGAGTACAAGTTTAGGGTGCAAGAATGCAAACAGTGGGATTTGAGAACTTGTGAGATAGT